GCCTATCCAAGAAGGGAGGTCATGTTCGCGGACGGCCTGGCAGCTTGCCGATCGAGAAAGTGTTGGCCATCTGGTCCGGCAACAAACGACTTCGCCAGCACCGATTTCGCGCTCCAACCAACAGCGGTCGTCTGGCCGAGGCCTACGCAACGGAACAGCAGATGCCCACAAGTCCACTTGAACAAATGCTCCTCCAACGCGACAATGAGCTGTTGGTGGATCTGCTGACACGCTGCCTCAAGTGGCTGCCGGACGACCGGATCACGCCAGCCGAGCTTATGCGCCATCGCTGGTTCACCAACTGGTCGACTCCGCCGAAACGATCCAGTCATTCGGCTTCGGGCGAACTGGCCCTCGAGGCTTGTCCCAACCTTTTCGGGCCCGAGGCGAGAGCAACACCGACGAACGGATCGTCAGCCAAAGTGATCAAGGATCCGGCAGATTCAGGAAATCCTGTCAAAGCTAAATTCTACTTAAGCCAGAAAGAAGAATGCAGCGAGAACGGGGATTCCATGCATCTGAGGAGCCAACAGAGGCAAATCAAGAGTCATATCCAACACCCTGAGCCGAATCACTGCTACCAACAACCGCAGGCCCAGCAACAGAAACAGCAAAAGCAGTCGCAACAAGCCCGACCTCTGGGTCATCCAACTGGTCAGCAGTTGCATCATTCCAGGACAACAGCCAACATGCCCACAGGCGAGTTGGTAAGTACTCCGCGCAGAATGTCGATGGTCATCCCCGTAGCTGTAGCTCATGAGCAAGGGTTGTTCCATGGTCTCGACGATCCGCTCCACTCGACCGAGCTTGACGAGCATTTGGTCAATCGGACTTTGGACAATGGATTTGCAGATCAGTCGAGAAGATTCGGTTGTGGCTGTGGAGTGAATGAGTTGAATTACGAGTCAGAGGCTCGGATGCCGCATTTTGCATGTAGGCCCCAGGACAGTCTATCGTCCAGAGCTGACCTGCGAGATGTGGAACGGGCGAACAGTCTTCACGGCATGCTAGAGAATATGAATCTACATACCAAGGCCCTGCCGTACCAGACCTCACCGTCGCGAAGACAGGCGTCAGGCGGCCGCTCATTGGTCGGACCCAGTAACGAGGAGAAATCCTTTTTCACCTCGAATGAAGCCCTCCAATCAGGTGACACTGCAGGCCCCTTACACCAAAATTTCTATCCCACTTCAGTCAAAGTCTGCTCCGGACGACAGACTCAGAACTTTCACGATCGCAAGCTTTGTCACTTTCTTGGTGAAGGAGTTGCAGCAGACAATAGAGCCTTAGCAGAAGAGAACAAAGCCTCGGCAATTTCCATTCCTTCAACGGCGCCTCCCACCACGTCGTCTGCGGCACACCCTGTCACCAGAAGTACGGTCGGCACATCCGGAGGGGTGGCCTGTTGTCTATGGGACCACCCATTCGAGGGTGACAACTCTGTCTTGGCTCCGTCTGAGAGAGGGTCAAAACAGAATATGGTCTCGACTGGATCGCAGCCCAATCCCCGTTACCTCGTGCACAACGTACTCCGTCGGCCGCGAAGGTTGATCCCAGTGCCAATGATGAATCGAAGGACAATGGGCGCAGACTCGGATCTCTTGCATCTACTGCCACAAAGAGTGTTGCACACCAACGCCACCTCCAGCATCAATCTGCCACGTTCCGCTGTCTTCGCGACCTCTACGGCTGACTCGCAGACAAACACGATTGGTACCGTTTCTGTTGCCGACACTGTCCTGACGATGGCCTCGAAGTCTATTTTCACCTCGAGCACCCAAACGCTGAGTAGCGCCAAATATTTGCCCGCATCCAGAGACGAGGGCGCAAGTGAATGCGATAATTCCGTTTTCTTGCGAGCCCCCATTGCCAAAGTGTTGCCACGGGAATTGATGTATTCGTCAGGCGCGGCACCCGGAAACGGCCGACTTGGCAGCTTTGCCGGAGGCCGAGCGATGCCCACTCTCGACTTGCGCCCCACGGATCAGGAGCCCAGCTCTGCAGTCCAGTCGACAATCGCAGGATCACGGTGCCAACCGCGACCGCGACCGCGACCTCGGCCGGTATCTGATTTCTTCTTCGACACACTCCGCGACAGGAGTCGTCGTAAAACGACAACCGATATGGCTGGTGGAGTGGACAGTGGAGGCGAGTGTGAAGGCGACGATGGCGGTGTACTCATAGCTGGC